CGGCCTGGGACGACGACGAGACGGGCGCGGCGGGGGCGGCGGCGACGACGACGGGCGGCAGGGGCGCGCGGCGACAACGACGATGGGCGGAGGGGCGGTGAGGGCGACGGCGCGGCGGCGGCAGCGTCATCGTCGGAGATCGAGACTCGCACGAGAAGTGGAACGAAGTGGAGACAATAACTGAATTTTCGTAAGTGACATATATATAGGAGGGGCCTTTACTACCGGTTGGTGGCTCCAACCGGTACTAAAGGCCAATTTTGGCCAGCCCAAGCGGCGGGAAACGAGGGTCTTTAGTACCGGTTGGTGGCTCCAACCGGTACTAAAGGGCGACACATTAGTACCGGTTGGAGCCACCAACCGGTACTAATGGCCGTGCGCTGCCACACGTAGTGCGCTAGTTTTGGTCCCACCTCGCCGAGCGAAGGGCAGCCGCAGCTGGATTTATTGGTTTATAAACCCAGCTGCGGCTGCCCTTTCGAACTCCCCTATATAGCAGGCTTCTGTGCCTAATTAGGGCGCGCTGCCCTGTGAGCCCGCTGGCTCTTCTGGGCCTGTATTTGCACACCCTACGTCTGGCAGGCCCACCGGACAGCGCCACAACATTTTTTTATAATTTTTTTTTCTTTTCTGCATTATTTATTTTCTTCTATTTATTTTTGAGTAATTTTTTATATAGTTATTTCTTTTCTGCTTTATTTTTTTCTTCTATTTATTTCTGAGTAGTTTTTTTTGCTGTATTTAGTTTCTTTGTGAATATTTTTGTTTTATATAATATTTTTTTTCTTTTCTGCATTATTTATATTCTTCTATTTATTCTTGAGTAATTTTTTTATGTACTTATTTCTTTTCTGCTTTATTTTTTTCTTCTATTTATTTCTGAGTAGTTTTTTTGCTGTATTTAGTTTCTTTGTGAATATTTTTGCTTTATATATTTTTTTTCTTTTCTGCATTATTTATTTTCTTCTATATTCATACATACAGACCCCAATTAAGGTCTTTTTTTACTAGTGTCTATCTCTTTTGTACTGTATTCATCTAGAGCGATGCAGTAGTAAGTGCATGTGCATATGCAAATATTAATCTTCTGAAACTAATGCTGCCTTTTTTTACTTTTTTTTAATGTTTGGAGGTTTGGCATGTCCACAATAAGAACATCAATACTCCAAACCTGGCTATGTTGGGCCGTTGTTATTATCCTGATCGATACAAGGGAATACTCGATAGTCCATGATTTCCACATTGGTGACAGCAAACTGCTTCCTTGTGCCGGCACCCGCCGGTGCGAAGTACAAAGTCATTCGGTATGGATACTTCCACTCAATGTTGTTTAGGTCGACGACGTTTTAATTAACAGCGTATTCTTCATGCCTATGCATACTTACTTTATAAACTAGCTACCCGCGTGCTAATCATGTTGTATAGACAACCGGCTACAAGGCACCACTGACACTGACAGTCAAGTATTTCCACATTGGTGACGTTCCACACCCAACTGCTCCCATGTGGCCGTATGCATCGACCAGATGCAGAGGCCGGGGGTTTTCCTCCTTTTCGAAAAAAAAAATGTGCTGACACCGGAGCCAAGTACTCCCTCCTTCCATCTATATAGGGCCTAATGTGTTTTTCAAGGCTAATTTTGACCATGTGTTAGAGCAATAATATATGACATGCAAGTTACACAAAGCATACCGTCAAATTCGTACGTGAAAGGAGCTTCCAATGATATAATTTTCACATCATACATCACATGTATTATTACTCTTACCAATAGTCAAAGGCGGTCTTGAAAAAAGCATTAGGCCCTATATAGATGGAAGGAGGGAGTACCTACTCTTGTAGTGTGATTATGTTTTTGATTAGTTCAAATGAAGCATTGACCAATAATTGCTCCATTAATGCTCTTTTTTTTTACCAAATCACAATACTTTCAATAGATGCCTTTGATATTTGCCAATAGATCACTTCTCACTACCTGTGTATAATTTATAAACTAGTTGTTCATATGCTAATCATGCTGTACTGACAACCTTACAAGAAAAAAGAAGAGTTGGTCTAAATACTACTCCCTCCGTCTGAAAAAATTATTCTCTCAAATGAATGTATCTAGCACCAAATTAATACTAGATACATTCATTTGAGGGACAAATTTGGGACAATTTTTTTCGGACGGAGGGAGTACAAACACGAAACATGATTGTTGATGAGTCATTCTTCTTCCCCATCCATACCCAATACAAGACACCACTACCAGTCAAGTATTTCCTCTCACTACACTAGCGGACATATACTGCATACATATGCTGAATATATCATCTCTGTTCATTAGCGGAGCTGCCTGCCGGCCATTGCCATGGAGAGGTGGCTAAGCTTGTCTTTCCTAGCCCTACTTACGCTCCTGGTGATATGGCTTCTCAAGCTCTCGGTTGGCAAGAGCAAGCCGGCCAGGAAGCAGCTGCCTCCTGGGCCATGGACTCTCCCGATCATCGGCAGCCTCCACCACGTCGCCGGCGCCCTCCCACACCGCACGCTGTTGCAGCTGTCTCGCCGGCATGGGCAGCTGATGCACCTCATGCTGGGCGAGGTCCCCGCGGTCGTCGTGTCCAGCCCTGAAGCGGCAGCGCTCGTGATGAAGACAAACGACCTCGCATTCCCGGGCCGGCCGCGTGGCGTGACGCTTGACATCTTCAGCAGCAGCGGCAGGGGCATCGCCTTTGCCCCCTACGGCGACCATCTGCGCCAGATGCGCAAGGTCTGCGTCATGGAGCTCCTCAGCTCCACGCAGGTGAAACGCATGGAGGGCATCAGGGCCGAGGAGGTTGGCAGCCTCCTCCGCGGCATCACGGCCGCTGCCTCGGCCGGCCACACGATCAACGTCAGCGAGAAGGTGATGGCGCTCAGCAACGACGTGGTGACCAGGGCGGTTTTCGGAGGCAAGTTCTCACAGCAGGGCGAGTACCTCTGCGAGTTGGACAAGGCGTTTAAGCTGCTAGGCGGCTTCTGTCTCATTGATCTCTTCCCGTCGTCGTGGTTGGTAAGGTGGCTGAGCAATGGCGAGCGCCAGATGAAGAAGAGCTGTGGCCGTATGCAGCGCATCATTTCAGAGATCATCGATGAGCGGAAATCCGCTCGAGCTGCTGGCGTTGGTGCCTCCGGCACTGACGACGAGGATCTGCTCGATGTGCTGCTCAGGCTGCAGAAAGAGGACTCTTTGGAATTCCCTCTAACCACAGAGACTATTTGCGCCGTCCTGTTTGTGAGTATTTCTCTTAATTTCAGGTATTGATTTTGTTTGTGGTGGGTACTCAAATCATTAGGTGGCGGTGGTGGGTTGGTGGTGGGTTGGTGGTGTGTGTGTGTGGGTAGTTGGGGTCAATTATATTACTGAAAGGGAAACGTTTGCCTCCGAGTCGCCCCTCGCTTGCTCGCTCTTTTCACACGGGAACAGGCCGAACAGGCCTCGCACGCTAGGTGGGCCTCAAACGAGACGTGGCTTCCCTTATCTCTTTCTTACCACGTTTTTTTCTATGCTTCTTCCTCTCGCCCTGTAGCTTCTTTCTCTCGCCTTACGCATAGTGAGCTTGCCAGCGCCGAAGGCGTGACCTCCGGCTCCTTTTTGCGAGCACCTCCTCCCCTGCTGCAGCATCCCCTCCCCCACACACCTCAGACTGCTACCCCATCGATGCTACAACCGTAGAGATTTTTTGCTGGAACCCATGGTAATTTTTGCTTGAATCGGCTTTGCTTTTTGCTGTGTAGGATGCTACAACCAGTTCTGTGCAACCAAAAGCTGCAAGCAGCATATGAGAAAGCTACAACCGCCCACGAAAAAGCTTCAACCGAAGATGGCGCTGAAGCTAGGGGCTAGCTAGTGCTGCAACGGTTGACAAAAAAGCGTCAAATCTAGATAAAAAAGCTTCAACATTTGACAGAAAAAGCTTCCAACTGTAGATGCAAAAAACTTCAACCAGGCATTGTGCAACGAAATTTTGCTGAAAGTGGCTTCATTTTTTCCTCGGACCGGCGGAATTTTTTGCTTCAAACCGTGACGCTCACGGGATTTTTTCTGGAACCGGTCATTAGATTTCCTGGAAATCAGTGCAATTTTCGTTGCAACCGATGACTAGGTGATGCTACAAGCACAACATTGCAGCGACCGTCGCATTTTTTGTGTGTGCTGGAACCGGTCTTCTGTTTTGCTGGCATCAGTGCAAAATTTGTTGCAACCGGCGACTACTTTGAGGTGCCACAACCTCAACGCAGAGACTACGGCAAGCGATGGCAATCTGCGGCGGTGATCTGCTGTGGAAGGCGAGGATGGTGGCCAGGGGATGGTGCCCTTGCTGCGCGTGGGGGGGCGGAGACAGTGTGCGTGCGATCTGATTCGGGGGAGGGAGCAAGGCTACAACGAGCGGCGGCGATCTGCGGTGATGGCGAGTGAAGGCGATCTACCGCGGAAGGTGAGGATGGTGGCCGGGGGACGATGCCCGCGTCGCGCGTGAGGGCGGAGAAGGTGTGTGCACTAATTCAGGGGAGAGGACAGGGAGAGAGGTTGACTTTCGAGCTGCAGATGCAACGATGGGAGCAGGCCCAATCCAACGGCCATGAGGCGACCGTCCCAAATTTCAGACCGCCGACAGGTGCCTATCAGTCGCCTTACTGAAAGGCAGTCCGTTGCAAAGAGTGTGAGGACATACGCACATTTACAGGGCAAATCCTATTTGACGCTGCAGGCACCCGTTTATAGCCATTTTTTCTAAGCAAGAACCTATCTGTTCAAAGGTACAACACCAACCACTAGGCCGCATCAACCACTCATGCCAAATTTCGGTTTTATTATCATTTTATTTGTTTTTTAGTTCGTGGTTTTTCTTTCCAGGTTTGCTTGTCATTTTGTGAACGTTTTTATATGGTTTTTATTTTTCCTTTATTTTTCCTTTTTCTTTTCACATTTGTAAAGTTTCTTTTCCAAATCGATAAACGTTTCCCAAATTGCATGAACCCTTTTCAAAATGGATAAACTTTTTAATTTGATGAATTTTATTTGAAAATTGATGAACTTGTTATGGTTTTTTGTGAAAAAATTTCAAAATTGATGATCTTTTTCTCAATTAGATGAAATGTTTTGCAAAAATTATGAACTTTTTACAAGATTGAAGAATTTATTTTCAAATTGGATGAAACTTTTTCAATTCGATGAACTTTTTTCTCCAATTCAATGAAAACTTTCTTCAAATTTAATAAACTTTTTATGTTTTTATGATTTTTTTAAATTTGTGATTTTGTTTACAAAATGCATACAATTTTTTAAAATATGGGAACTTTTTCTCGTGATAATGAACTTTTTTTTAAATCGATGAACTTTTTTCAAAATCGATGAACTTATTTTCAAATTGGATGGACTTTTTTCAATTCAATGAACTTTTGTAAATATTCATTTAACTTCTTTAAAAAATCTATGAACTTTTTCTTCAAATTAGATAAAGTTTTTTAAAATACTGATGAACTTTTTTTGATTTGATGAACTTTTTTCATAATTCTGAATTTGTTTTCCAAATCAATGAACTTTTTTTTAAAATCCGTGAACTTTTTGTCGAGAAGATGAACTTTTTCTTAAATCGATGAACGTTTTTCATTTCCACGGGCTCTTTGGAATTTATGTGAACCTTATTTTCAAATTCGTACCTGCTTTCAGTATTTTTAAGAATTTTGTTTTAATTTTATACCCACTTTTGAAAATAATTTATGCTGGATATATATAATATATGTTAACTATAGGAAGGGTCAGATAGATCTTTTTCCTTATTATGATCAGCTAATTGACATCGATCTGGTGGTTACGAGGGACAACTCTTGAGGGTAGCCCTCAGAGTTCGAATTCAGCTATTCGATAATAGCTGCAGGAATAAGGCTTGGATATTTTATTTTTTGCTCTGTTTGAGAACAAATTGTTAGCCATGTTTTAATGGGCCACGGCCCGCTCCTCTAACGCGAGCCTACAACACCAACTAGGAGCTCCCCATTTACACGCGAGGTTAGGTACAAATGCATTAATCTTGTCTTTCGGTTACTTGAACCAATGAGACCATAGAGTTAATTCAGAGATGATTTTGTTGATCGTGGTACATCTGCGATTGTCAACATGGCGAAAACCTTGCTGTTCCGAGCATCCCAATTCTCAAAGGGATAGTGAAGAATACTGACATAGAGTCTTCCAGTTCTTTTTAGAGTAGGGTATGTTGAAAATAGGCGATGGCGTCCCTTTGAGAAATGATGATGAGTTGCCACTCTAGTAACAAGGGGACAGTTGATGAAGATATGTGTGGACAGAATCTTCTATATGGTGATCGCAACATGGGCAGGTGGCGTCATTGGCAATGCGCTTGTGAACCATATTTGCCATAGATTTTAGGCTATTCTAGCATAGGAGACAATCAAAGATCTTGGGCTTCTTTTGGACGCTAGAACTCCAAATGTTATCGTATTAGGTTCTTTATGTTCATCGCAGTGAATGATGTTGTAGGCGTGCTAAGTGGAGAAGAGTAGCCCTCCATTGAGGTCATGCTCCTTGTCCTCATAGAACTAAAAGTCTTGAAAAAAGACAACAAGGCATGCAACTCAAACACACAACCTGGGTTAGGCGATTTCACAGGTTAGACAACATGATTGTCATACGGGTTGTACTCGGATATTGATGTTGTTTTACTGTAGAGACTGGATCTATTATCTTCATGTATTAACTAGCATGGTGGCCCTCAAAAATGCGATGGCAACATCTTATTGTGTCAAAAGTGTCAAGTATTTATCTAATCTCACCCAGACCTTTTTAGTCTTATTTCCCCCTTTATTGCATAGTATATTTTAGACATCGCTACATTTCTGTTGGTGTATCTTTAACCATGTGTAGCAGTAAAGCTATCACCTTGTGACAATGAGGTCACGGATTCTCTTGCAGAAATGTAGTGAAAGACTGGGTACAACAGATCCAAAGTGGTTGGACCCTTCCCCAGACCATACGTAAACAGGAGTTACGTGCACCGGGCTCCCTTTTATCTTTAACCTTTATTTAGAATATGAATATATGGCAGTTTAACAAAAAGAATAGAAGAGATGTAGTGCCTATTCAGAAAAGAAAGCGTACCACATGGCTAGTATGCCCCAACTGTCCATATTCCTGACTGATGGGTGTAATAATCATCGTATGTAGTGTCTACACATCTAATTGATCACATTTTACTATATTAGTCTTCACAAACGAACACTTAAATTAATCATACTTTTAGACAAAGCTTTTTGAAGCATTCATATATTATTTTATATAGGAAGATGTTTGATTGTGCTTTGTACAACAGGATATGTTTGCAGGTGCCACGGCGACCACATCAACTACTTTGGCGTGGGCTATGTCGGAGCTTGGGCGGAGTCCTGAAATCATGGCTAAGGCACAACAAGAAGTATGGGAGATTCTTGGTGAAGGCCGATCTGTTATGACTAATAACGACCTTGTTAAACTCCAGTACATGCAGATGGTCATCAAGGAAACCCTTAGGTTGCATCCACCAATTTCTCTAATCCCACGCTCAGCCAGAGAGGATTGCACAGTTATGGGGTATGACATCCCTAAAGGCACCAATATATACATTAATGCCGTTGCAATTTCTCAAGATCCGAAAAACTGGGACGATCCTAGAGAGTTTAGGCCAGAGAGGTTTGAGAACATCAACTAAAATTACAATGGAACATACTTTGAATTCATTCCCTTTGGAGCTGGGCGACGGCAGTGCCCCGGGATCCAGTTTGGCTCATCGGTCATGGAGATGGCATTAACAAACTTTCTATATCACTTCAACTGGAGACTTCCTGATGGTTCTAGCCTTGTTTCGTTTGACATGTCTGAGAAGTTTGGGTTGGCTGTAAGCAGAAGGTATGACCTGCAACTCAGAGCTATTCCACATGTGTGGTCCAAGACGTCGATGTGAAAAACAGAGCTTGTATATACATGTGACAATGCATGTTCATATTCCTGCACTTTCAGCGCATGTCATTTTTGCAATGTATTGTTGTACCTTTATGCAATGGAGTATGAGAAGCTGGGTTAAAAAGGAATAAGAATAACTCATTGCAGACATCATGGTATTGCATCTACTGTATGTACTACTAGTGCACGACAGAAGATTTTACGTAGTAGTTTAGTACTACATGACTGTACAAGTCATACATAGTTATATGAACTTTGTAATAACACATGACTATTAATGAAGTATGATCTGTGGATCAGAAACATATGTGCTTTATGCGATTTGCTATCGGTGGTATGAACATATATGTTGTCTCGAAAGTAGTCTCATGGAGCTCAAGTTGCCTGATCCAAAGATCTTGTCATTTAGCCGTCGAAAGCAAGGATTCGATATATGATAATCTTTGGGCAAACGACATACTTGACTGCTAATCCATTGTGGAAGCACGAAAAAGGTAGATAGAAATGGATTATCATTTTTCGTGAGTGCACGATGAACAAGGCACTGGAGGCTCGCCTTTTATCCAACCAAGGACCAGATTCCGTATGTACTCCCTCTGCTCCATATTAAATATCGATGATTTAGTACAAAGTTTGCTAAGTCAGCGACACTCAATATGTATCGGAAGGAGTATTTGCAAAGGATCTACTAGAGCTACCGTTTCACTAGTAAGACTCTTTCTGTGTTTGCTATAATTTGTTAGAAAACATTTTTTTTATTTTGTACAAATATTTTGCTAGCTGAAAGACTCTTCAGTTAAATATGATAGCAAAATATAACTCAAACTACTCAACATTCCTTAAACTTACAGATTCTACAGTACACCACAACACATTTTAGAGTCTAAATAATATCAACCTTCTGGATATACCATCTGAAATTGAGTTGTCATGTTAAAAGTCAGTAGATAGAATGCCGACAGATTTAGTAACAGTATGGTAATCTTTCTCTTGAAACAGGCTCTCGCCCCGCTAGTCTCAACCTTGGGAGCAAACAAAAACTACATAAACCCTCATCTTATCAATGTGGTTATTTGTATGGCATAACTTCCTAATAATTAATTGGTTCATGATAATTCAGTAACAAACCTTAGGCTTGACCAAACCTAGTTTATGTATATCCCTCCTGATTGAATGTTACATAGATATCAATGATGTCACATGATATACGTGGGAGGTTCGGTCAGTGCCCTTGGCTGAAGGAGGAGGAGAGAGGCCCCTCGGCACCTCGCATGCCGTCATGTGGCTGGTGAGGGGAGGCATGGTCCACAATCTTGTCCCTGGTAGTAGTAGCAAGAGAAGGAAGAGGAGGAGGAGGAGGATGAGAGGCCTCTCCGCTCCTCTCTGAGCCTCTGGATATTTAACATCCACTTGAATCTCTTTTTTAAATTTCGATGCACATATAACAAGACTACAATTTCTAACTACACATTTTCATGTGGTCCCTCGAAATAGGCTCTTGCCCTGCTTTGTAAATAAAGCACACATGGCGATATTTGCTAAAAATTCTAATCCTTAATTTTGCACAAGCATTCCTATCATATTCCTGTGTTTTTCTTAATCTTATATTGTTTTCAGAATCCCGCACACCAAAGAAAGCCTTGAAGGAAATCTTTAGGAAAAATTACCATAGCGTTTGATCTTGATATCAAACGATCAACATAGGATAAATTACTAACAATTTCAATCCTTTGAAATTCTGATAAAGTACTTCGAATCAATGAGTCTCTCAAAAGGTGCTACTCTAGGAAAGTTGTCGTAGGAGCCATCATCGCCGCTACCTTGACCTTATCGTTGGCACTGTGAAATTCTAAGACCCACTGATCATAGGTGACCCAAGCTAAAAACTTTGGTTGTGAACCTTCTCGATGGTCTTCTCCGCCTTAGGCCGCAATTGGTTCGGCGTTTTCTAGCCCAAAACATCCGTATCAGTCGGAGACGTAAAAATAGCCCATTGAATCCTCAAATCACGCTTGGTTCACCGTGTGCATTTTATTTTCTGGGCTTTTTGGCAATGTTATAGTCAAAAAAAATTACAGACCAATCGATGGGTGTAATTGCACTCACCGGTTTTATACTCATGCAATACAGCAGGGAAAACAAAAAGTGTTTCCAAGCGGGGACATAGCCTCCTCTATCTCCTCTAGGCTTTGGAGCTTTGATTTCTTTCTTTTATTTCTGAACGTGTTACCCTGATCAGAGTGGTGGATGCAAAGCGACCATTAGATTTGCATTGTGATTCGTGCGTTATGTGAGTTGCAACTGGGTTGCAACCAAGTGTTCTCAGTTTGCAACTGAGGAAAGGTGTCCTTGACTGTCTGACTTGCCTCGTGCATGATTCACGTTGACTGGGAGTTGCAACCAGACACTCCCCAAAACTTAACCATAGTAGAAAAGAGAGAATCTTTAACTTTTTTTATACCAGAGAAAAACATTACTATTTTTGAGGCAAAATAATCTGAACTTTTTTTGAGACACTAAAGAAACTAGTACAATCCCGTGCGTTGCCATGGGCCTTTTGTTGTATAAATCTTAATGAATTTTTGGGCCCTTCCAATGACATCACCTCAACACCCTTGTCGATGGATTCTTTTTGAACGTTGACATAATCCATCTCCATCTCTTTCATACTCTGCAAAAATAAATATGTATAGAAACATAGCTTTTATATTATCATGCACAACAAATATATAAAGAACAATTATTTGCATGCATCTTTTTTGATTGTGTAAAACCCGATGATTTTTCAGTCTGGTTCACCATAAAGCTTTATCAATAAAAAGCCATCAGTTTTGATCTTTGATCTACAAAAGTAAACATATAAACAATATTAACATAAAAAATAGAAAACTCATATACAATATATATTCATTGGTCAGATGCTAAATGTGAGTAGATGACCGTTTTTACTCAGAGTGAGTGACATCGTCCTTTTTAGTAGAGTGAGTCGCATTCCAATTTGAATAAACTGTAAGTTCACCTGTATATCACTTGTTGGTAATTATGTTTCAAAGCAAATAGCAAACTCTGTGATGTTGCTTATGTTTCATTCTTATATCAAATTGCAAGATTGTTTTCAGTTTTTAGAAATATTGTTGTAAATTTTGGATGCTTGCATTTCCATCATGAAGATAACTAATATGTTATTTAGAATAATTCTTGCATTTCCAGCTTCAAGATAGGTAATATCTTATTTAGAAGGATGCTTACATTTCCTGCTCACCGATGGACAGAGCAACGAATTTGTTATTTGGATGTTGAATTTATTTCATATTCAAAATGCAACGTTTATGTGTCCTTATGTTCACTTCCTAGCATCATATGCAAACTTGCGGACAAGTGACAAATATGTAAATAGCTTGAAAAAACTGGATGAACAGCTGTAAATTTGAATAGTTGAATGACCATGCATTGCCATGGAATAGAAAAACATAGCGATTGAATAATTGACTCAATGTAGAAATATGTTGGACAAGCTGGCATGTGGTCTCCATCCATACAGTAATAAAACTGATTCTCTCTCCATTTCTTGTCATTTCTTCGTAACCATCTTCTCTTTGCAAGAAAATGAAACGATATCTAATCTTCTCCCACCCTTCCTCCTATTCCACCTTCATGTAGTTGTACAAATTATATAAATTTTATCAATTCAAAAGAAAATTTTGATTATATTTCTTATTTAAAAGTAATTAAAGATGTACATGGTGGTTAATCCAACCTTAATTTTTTACCGCAACAAGGATAAAACTTGAAACTAACATAGAGCCTTAATTAACTAAATTGTCCCTTGTCCCCATTTCTTAAATTCCTCACACGCTACTTGCTCCATTCTCCCCGTGGCCACACAACCATGCCTACCTGTGACCATGAAAATCAATCAACCATTAAAATTCATGATCTGACTATACAATTCACAAGATAAATGAAATCCATGTCAACTAGAATATAATTAAAAAACACGTCGTTTGTGCTCTGTAGCAGTAATACATTATCATACGAGGAAGGTTAGAGTACTCGTACCATGAATAAAGAAGGCACACAACATCTGGCATTATCACAAAATCATACTTGCACACATTACCACCAGTAGCAAGATAAACGAGGCGGATATCAGCTTTTAAAGCATGATTAGGAATCAAGGCAAAATCTATTTTCAGGGTTAGAAAGAAAAATACCAAGTGCAAGAATTGGAACAGATAAGAAGCTTACCAGGGCATGATGCCATTGGGTTGGATGTCATGCACGGGCCAATAGAGCTCCCTCCCTATCTCTTACAAAGCTCTCCCTACGACCCACTTCAGAGCAGTCGGTCGTGCTTCTTTCCAACCCAACTTCTGCATCGCCGCAGGTCAGCCAAAGGAGTTGTTGCCTGCAGCCAAGCTCACCTTCCGCGCCGCTATAGATCAGCTAGTCACGCTACTGCCGACAAACATAAATATCAAGCTTTTCTTACTTGAGAGAACTCAATAAGGGCAAGCATGTGGAGTGTACATAATCCGAGAGAGACTCAGTCAAGCAACATAAATGAAAAAGGAAAAGTACCAACATTTTGAGAAAATGAATTCAGTTAGTCATACAAGAATATGTTCAGAAGATAAAATCATTTAGACACACCTCACGCAAATTCTCTCAAAGAAATTCTTCATGACATCTTCCGGAACCTACATGTTCAGAAAAACAAAGTAAGAAAGCAGACATATGCAGCACAAT